ATATTCTGAATCTAATTAGTATTACTAACCCGTCCTTTATTCTATTTGTTAATGATACCCATAAGTTGACACAACAAACCCCTTTCCTTCCGCATTTTTTGAATATTTATAAATTTTAAAAAGCAGTTGAATCCAATCAACGAGCCCAGTGTGGAGTGATATCTTTGAAAATATTCCAATGTCATTCTATCACACGATTTATAAATTTTTGGCCTGACTTATTTGAATTGTGAAAATTACAAATGTTTATAAAAATGATGGGAACGGGTTTGTTGTGTTGATAATACCTCGCGTACCAAATTGGTATTAAACTATGTTCGTCGCACGATTATATTATGTTGTTTCAACTGATTACATTAACTGCAACCACAGCATTTCCATCAAATTTAGGTAAACGTGTTTTTGTTACTTTTACGTAATTTCATATTTTCGACATTCGATTGTTGTCTGCATACGTAACGGCCCTGACGTAACGCGAGTGTCGGTTCTGTAACACCACGAGTTGCGTGAATATGACATAATACCAACAATGTATAACGACTAATACTAATACGAATATAATATTTGTAGGAGATAACAATATTATTCAAGATAAAAATTAAATTAATACTTCGTCTCTGGGTGACCTCGAACAGTTGGTGTTAGGCGCCTAAACTTTAACATGCTTAACAATTCATAATTATAATATTTGTGACAGTATCGTAATTTTTATTTTGTATTCTTTCTTGATTTTTAATATTTTAAAATATGAACCTTAATGTTACTTTTGTTTATACAACCATTCCACTCCTACGTGTAATATTGAACTTCAAAAAAATAATGTTTGGTCCATGGCTCACTTTTAATATTCTAAATCTATAGGGCTGTTCCCTTTTCATGTTTGCTATTTGATGGTGTTCACTTGGCCTCAGTTTGAGATCTGCCACATAAAATTGTGAACGTACCATGCAAAGTATTATCTTCAGAAGGACGGGAGATTTCATCATAGTCACTAGTTACGTAAATATAATACAAACAACGATTGTGTATTATTCTGTGCATAATTCTGGAGGGAAAAATGAACTTTTTATAAACATTTTACCTTTTTTTACTTCGCGCACAGAGGCAATATTTTTTTGAAGATTAAATTTGCAAAATTGCTTCATCTAAAACAAAATTGTTTGCGTCCAGACCTTATTTGCATTTTTTTGTAACAAATGTATGTTTGCAATTTCCCCCCTGAAAACTTTTCGGATTTTGTATGATCCATCCTTCACCGTAAAGTGATTACCATATAAATATGTATAACTTTAATCGCATTTTGGTGAATTATAATGATAGACCGTCACAACACAGTATCATAATAAAATAGATGAGTGAACTCCAACCACCTTAACATTATTTGCAATGCACACTCGTGATTAAACAAAGTCTTAAGACATTTTTAATAATCGTTGCCCTCTTTCTCTGCTTAACAACCCTGAAATCTTGTCGATAGAGGGCGTAACTCGAACATCTGCAGACATTGCTCAGAATGTCACACGCAAGGTAAATGTGATATCTGACCCTAAGATGTTGTATAAATCAGTGATGAGTTTATAAATGTATCAAAGACGTATGCACTTTCAATTTTGTTGGCGTAAATCTGTGGTACGAGAATCCATATATTTCGTTTCATGTTGTTCAAATAATATTAACCACAAAAAGACAAATTCCGTGATAGCCACGCTGTTGTAAAACTACTACCACTTAATCATATATACTAGTAGTCAATTATTCGTACCCGTTATGTGTGTTGTTGCTACACGTTCAAATTCACACCTTTGTCTAAATGAGTAGCGGAATACCTGGCAACACAGGGACTCATTATAGTCACTTGGTTCTGAAAATCAATAAATACTATTTTTTTTTAAAGTTATCCGCTATACGAATATAAATAATAAGTTTATTTATATGCGTATAGCGGGTGATTTTTTTTTTTAAATAGTATTTATTGAATTTCAGCCCAAGTGACTGTGACTCATTACTACATGCGATGGGAGCACGTATAGGAATGAACCCTTGTGTCTTGCAGTTGTTCAGAATTTGCGCTTGTGGGGCATTTTAAATTTGTTCCAGGTCACTACCTCCACATAATACAGGGATGAACGGATAGGAAACCGTAGAGCGGATATGTTTAAGCCAACGAAATGAACCCCATATCAGATTCATGAAAATCGGTAAGTTGGATTTAATCGTACAATAATCTTGACAATATTGGGGAAAATGTTGTTCATGATTATGATTTCTGTTCATGAAGTTACTTTTTTATTGAATAAAAAAAACAATGGTATATTTCGTTCAAATAATTAAATATATGTTCTTGTTTCCTAATTTTTTTTTTGGTAATGTGGAACAAGGCCTCGTATACGTCAGTGATTTGTAGATGTCACTTTATGATAAATACCCGTATGTTCAATGCAGTCACGTGATTGACATTGACGCAGTCTTTCCGAATAAATAGTCGTAATTCTTAGTATTTATGCCACGTGATTAGATAAGTCTACCAGACCTGCTTATTGAGGGCGATGTTACCAGGGATCGCTCAACAGTGTATTGGCAATAGGTATTATCACCCTAATCGACTAAATTGAAATTTTTTATTGCAATTCGTAACATCAACACTCTTTTTCTGTGCAACGACGTCACCCCATTCATTGTATTTATATCACGTGGTTTTTGAACCTTGACACAAAGCGCAGGCGGAAGTATTGTAAGATAAAACCGATAGACGTGACAACTGTTGGCTAACCATGGCTACGGCAGAATCGAAAATACTTGAAAAAATCGATGACAACTTTCTCGTATGTACGGTGTGTTCTGAGAGATACCGTAATGCTAAGATTCTACCATGTCTGCACAGTTTCTGTGAGCAGTGTATCGACAAACTGGTACAGAAATCGGGAGGTAAGAATATACCCTGCCCAGTGTGTAGGCGAATTCATGACCTCCCAGAAGGAGCCGGCAGTGTGCAGTCGAACGTATTTCTAAACGAGTTGGTCGTCTTACTTGGAAAACGAGACAAAAAGACAAACGAAGTACAAACATGTGAAGGGTGTCAGCGAGATCCGATGACCACCCATTGTATTGATTGTGCAATAGGACTGTGTGACGGTTGTATATCGACCCGTCTACGAAGTCCCACAACCTGATGTCACGACAAACGTACCAGGCTGCAAAATCCGCTGATATTGCTACGGTTCAACCACCTGTCTACTGTAGTCATCACCCTGGTAACCAACTGGAATTACATTGTGATACCTGTGATATTCCAATTTGCGTCGCGTGTGCCGCTCTAAATCATAAATTAACTGAACATAATTGCCGATATCTGAAGGACGCTGCCTCTCAGTATGCCACGGATTTGATCAAGGTGACAGACATTCTAGCAGAGAAAGAAAAAGAAGCGAAGGAGAGCAAAGAAAACGTACTGCAGATGACAGAACTGCTGGAAAATCGATTTAGTGAACAAGAACATAAACTAAATGTTCACATTGAGACGGTGGTGGCGGAAATCACGGCAAAATTCGTAAAAACGGTGAAGCTTGTGCATGAAATGAACAATGTTTTCAGTGAGAGAAAACAGAATTTGCATGCGCAATTGAATGAACTGGAAATTGCTGAAAGTGATATGAAACATGCACGTGACTTTGCCACACATCTAATGAATTATGGGAATGCTGCACAACTGATGTCTGCTAAGAAGGGAATGACGTCACAGATAGATGAACTGCTGGAGCTAGACACCAAACAGCGTCCAGCTGAAGACTACTACATCGAGTTTCAATGCTATGATGACTTTTGTGAGACCAAAACTCTGGGTGAGATACTTCACAACAAATACATTTTGGAGATGAAAGATGTATCCACATATAGGACTGGTGATGATGTATCCATAACCATGGCAACAACTGATGGCAATGTGGTGGACTTTGTGGCACTAAAACAGAAAATCCAATCTAAAATGAAGACTCCATCCAACACGATAGAAGAAGTAGAAGTGACTGACAGTAAAGACGGGACTTGTAGTCTGACATATCAGGCTAAGGTAGAAGGGGTGCATGAATTGACAGTTTTAGTGAATAACAAATCAGTGCAGGGTTCACCTGTTAAGATTAATGTAATTCCTAAGAAGGGGTTGATGGGTAATTATGGTAAGAACGGATCAGGAGTGAGTCAGTTTAGTTACCCTCGTGATGTCCTGATAACCAGTGAAGGGAATGTATTAGTTTGTGACAGTAAAAATATTCGACTTCAATTACTGACCTTGGATGGAAAACATAAACGAATGATTCAATTCATTGGTTTTAATAAACCATTCTATCCATACTTTGCTGCAAAGTCACAGGATGGTAATTATTTCATAGTAGATGATAATAACAAACAAGTAGTTGTATGTAATAACAATTTTGAACTAATTAGATGTTTTGGCATTGGGGAACTGACATATCCTAGGGGTATTAGCATTAGCCCTGTGAATGGAAGGGTATATGTTGTTGACTATAATTCCCATTGTATAAGAATCTACAACCAAGATGGGAGATATATAAAGTCATTCGGATCACAGGGTGATGGGGACTGTCAGTTTCAATCTCCTTGGGGAATTTCTACTGATAGTAAAGGTAATCTCATTGTGGCAGATAGCTGGAACCACCGCATACAAGTACTGACTGGTGAAGGAGAATTTCTATTCAAGTTCGGAAGTCATGGAAATTCTGATGGTCAACTACATAATCCTTCAGGTGTAGCTACTGATACAGATGGATATGTGTATGTGAGTGATTATAATAATAATAGGGTTCAGAAGTATGACTGCCATGGTCAATTTGTATGTCGTATTGATAGTCCTGCTGATGGGTTGAGTTTACCCCTTGGTATCTGTGTCACAAATGATAAACCATTTGGTAAGGTTGTAGTGGCTGATTATGGGAATAACTGTATGAAAATATTTGCACAATAGTTTAAATAAGTTTAATTATCAATAGTTGTAAATAATTAACCTTGTATTCCTCAATAAATGAATCGGCCATTTACAAATTGTATCTATTCTACATAACCCTAGTTCTCTATTTGTACAGATGTGTAATTTCAATTGTAACTACCACGCATTGCAAGAAGGTGTGAATTTTTTTTGGGAGGGGGGGTTTAAAAAAATATTAAAATAGTTATCTTGGACGATCCTCGCGTTTCAATTTAAAGATGCTTTCATTTGCTGTAAAATCCATTTGGTAATGCCTATTACCTGTGAGTCTTTGCAGTGTTCACTCAATTAATTGTCCAATTTACTGCCATGTACACAAGATGTATACCATCAAATTTGTTTAAAATTAGTGATATTTGCCGAGAGTTGTACTAATTTTGTTTTTTGGAATAGATTGTTAAAATGTTAAACGTATCTGTTTTGGGAAATAAGCCAGTGTCAAAGCAGGTGTTAAGGTCGTGGCTAGAGGGCGCCTGTTTTTATCCAAGACATGTGATTGGTTGTTTTCAATTGTCATTTTAAAAATATTTGATATAAAACAAATTTATGCCTTGATAGTAAATTTTATGTAATGTAATTTTGAAATTCACAAAATTTCAAACAATCTGAAGTCACTTTAAAATTTTGTTTTGCGATTTCGCCATCTAAATATGCAAGTCAGTATTTGATAATTTTGAGTCATCTTTCAGGCATTAC